TTTCACAGTGTTTTCATTCCTGAGAGATATCAGTGGTGAATCACGCTAGACACATTCACATGGTTGCAGTCTTTGAAAATCTATGAGCAACTGGAGTTCCTCCGCTGTGACCGACACTTCGAATCATGTGCGCTCTCCATTAAATCATCTCCATGAAAACAGTAGTCAGAGAAGTCGGCACCACCAGGATGATGAGAAGACCCGCCAGCTCGAGGATTCCAGGAGACCACAACCGCGTAGAGCGGGACACTGACCGACGAGGCCCACACCCCAGAAACGTCAGCATCATAAATAGCCGGAGCATGCAGCGGCGGCAACTCATCGAAGTCACATAACCAGGAGCAATGCATCGACGTCGCCATGCTAGGTTCTCTGAACCTGGTGAACTCTACCTCCCCAGAGTGTTGTTTCCTTGACCCACTCGCTCCAGGATAGGGATGATGAGCTTTCGTCTTTTACGGCGTTCACAACCCTCAGCCTACGGAGCTCGTTTGCTTGCATCGCTTCCCCACCAACTGGAAGCAGTAGTGACGTGGCCTCGCCATTGTGACCAAGGTAAGAGAGCTGATACCATAACATCGTTACAGTGACAACACGATACAGTAGAAAGCACGCAGATGGAAACGAAGGGCGCAGCTTTAAATAGGACACTGGTCTCATCAAACAGTAATCCCTTGAAGTAATCAGGGCTAATGGTATAGCGGGCGCATAGGGTCAACGACCATGTCCCTCAAGGCGTCTTGGAAGTGCCTCAGCCAGTTGGCGAGGTCCTCTCGAGTGTAGTCCGGCTGACGGCATTTGAATCTCAGAGCCCAGGAACATCGACTTGTCTGGTCACAAGCAATATCCATCGCCCTCGTCGCAGAAACAGAACTCCCTTGAGGGAGCGGTATGATATTCAAGTTCTGCTCGAACCGTCCAGAGGTGTCCGTCTCCGAAGGGAACTGTGCCGGTAGGAGGTTCACCAGGAGCCGCTCACAGCTACTCAGAGGAGTCGGGATGGTCCATCGACGGAACTTGATAATGTGCCGTAATGTTAGGACCTAAGGATGCACATTAAAGCTCCAAACCAATGCTAACAGCCGTACCAAATTGAGGACGCTGGTCGCACAGGGTTGCCCGTTGTCTTCGGGGACGTCCTCCAATGGTATGTCGATATTCCTAAGATCAGCGAATAGGCCCACCAGCTGGTGCTCAGTGGGTCCATCCCTCAGAGGTACCACCAGAGTCGCCTTGGCTACTCTGCGCCATCCCCTCTCCCTCACAGACGCCAGGACAATTGCCGCCAGGAGTACCACGTCCAGAGGGGCTCCTAGTCTACGACCAACACTGTGGAGTACCAGATGAATAGATGGTAAAAGCTTCACACAGTGACCGAACCCTTGCTGAGGCACCGTAGTGTGGTCCACGGTATAGCAAGGGTAGAGGGTGTCACCATGAAGATCTCGTGCTCTGTCCATTAGAGTTCGCCTCAGCCGTCCACTTTGGACCTGAGCTCCTGAAACCCGTAGGGGTGGTAGTAGTCGATTCCGTGGGCCCCTATGGGAGCCTCTTCTAACCGCCGCATAAGCCTCGTTGAGGTCACTGAGTAAAGGGACCACACTGAAGCCATCAGAAAAGGCATGTGTGACGAAGACTCGAACGAAGGTCCGCACTGGTCCACAGCCATCGAGGCTCTCATCGAGCTGTACGATATCTATTCCCAAAGGGGACCGGAACCCGTGCCTCTTCTCAGAGTGGACCCAGCGTCTCAGAGCCTCTCGAGAATTGAACTCCCTCACTCTCACCGAACCAGGGCGCCCCTCTACTGAAGGGGTGATATGTATACGACCCCACAGCGGCCAGAGTACCCAACGACCCACTGCATACGCGATAGCAGCTATCCAAGAGAAAAAGCGACCCCCTTTAGTCAGAGCCATGTACTTGACCATGCCTTGGACAGACAGACCCTCGTTCATGAAGGTGTAGTAGCCGATACCAATATCGTTACTAACCCTCATAGAGGCCTGTCGAGAGACCACCGCTTGGACCGCTGCCTGTAGGGCGAACAGGTCCACCTCCTCTTCTTCTTCCTCCTCGCTGCCGCGGCCGCCGCTACCGCCATGCCACTCCAACATCCAAGCACATACTCCTTGCCACCCCCACACCTGCACAGGTATACCAGCAGCTTTGGGGCCACGGCGGCCCGTAGGGTCAACACCAGTGACCCCATCGAGGATCCTCGACAATTTCTCTGTCCACTTCCCACCATCACCCTCTCCCTCGTCCTCCTCCTCGTCACCCCCTAACCCTCCAGCGACGCTCTTTGCCTCAACCACAGCGACTAAGTCGTTCACACTGCGGCACTTGAGGACATCTCCCACTGTGAGGAGGAGCCCGGTCATCCTGAGCTCCGTCCTAATACTGTGGGCGAGCTGGACAGCTCCTAAGGAGTCTATACTGGACACCACATCAGCGTCGAAGTCTTCTATACTGAAAGTCAACTGCCTTTCCACCAACAGGGCCAGCCTCTTTGCCAACGGCTTGGCACTCTTCAACTCTACCTTGGGCTCAGCCTCTACACTCACCGGCGCATCCTCTTCACCCCCCGCATACCACTCCTCGTCCACATCACTATCACTGGACTCGTCATCCCCAGCGCCCAGTGTTGGTGTGGTCGACGTCTCGGACACTTCCAACTGGCCTCCCACCGACGTCGAGGGGCTCCTCAGCTGCCTCCTTTCCTCCTCCTCCAACATCCCCTTAGCCGTAGCATAATCCTCCCCTTCCAACACCAACCCATCGTATCGTCCTGCATACCATCTATCGATATTCTCCACAGCCTCTCGTCGCATCTCGGCCCACTGCTGCGTTGATATCTGTATCGTCGACGGCAGTGGGCACTCTCTAGGCTCCTCCTCTGCATCCATCCACGAGTAGTAGTACGACTCTTCGTACCCACTGGCCTTCTCCTCTCCAACCGTCCTTCTACTATCGAATATACCCTCAACACCACCCTCCTCACGGTCACGACAGTGTCGCAGATCTCGAGGGGATACAAGCACCTGAACATTGCCATTATCGAACCAACCATACCGCTCCTCTTCCAACTCACACTATCCATGAGGAACTCTTCCCTCTCAACCCCGCTTCTACAGGAGCGCCGAGTCCTCCCCTTCCTACATTCAGCCAGGCCATATAGTCGTAGATCCACCGAGCAGTTCCTCAGCCACGATGGTACCCAGCGTCGAGCTCCTGGTTCGGAGGTCCAATCAGCTACCCAAGAGTCCTTCTCAATGCTACGGCCAATAGTAGTCCACCATAACACGTTGAACTGCACTACCAATACCACTCCATGGACACATCGTCGCCAGAATGATAGGTCTCTAGAGCACTGGTCGAGCCGAGGGAAGGCCTTGCCCAACCATAGACCAGAGGAGACCACGACCACCCCTTGCCACGACCAACACCATACCGCTGAGGAGGACACCAAACCCATGGCCCACAGGAGGCCCCCCGTAAAGAGGAGGCTGGCCACGACCCCACCGATGCCAGGGACTTTACATTTTGTCCACCGGTCGAGTTGCTTCAACTCACTCGCAAAGAAATGCAGTACCCAAAAAATAGCAGCCAAGGCGGAGCGAAGCAGACGACGAAACCCCGACCCGTCAGCCACATATGGAGGCATACTCTTTTCCAATGTTATCCATATGTTACCGTCCACCATAAAGAACACCCAATAGGTCATGTTGAAGTGGGCCGCAAGGAACATACCAGTGAGGCCAAGGGCCAGATAGTAGACCACAGCTATTGTGAGAGTGATGATGGACCACCGAGCGAGATACCCAAAGCATCTGGCAACCTCCACTTCCGTAGCCGCTGGTACGATATCATCATCCCTGACCATCCCCAGCAGTGAACGACGGTCTATCTTGCAGGTAGCTGAGTGCCGTGGGAGGGTCTCCAGTGCTAGCCAATGAACTCGAACGACGTTGCCGCTGGGGAGGAGCCTCTGGACCTCAGCCGTTGTGGCCAGTCGGAAGGGCCTACAACAACGACGACCCTCTAGACCGCCCTTGCTGCCTTGCTGGACTTACTTCATTATAATAAAGGCATGTACAGAGGCCCTTTCTCCATCATGTTGAAATCTTATCCCTCCTAGCCTTTCCTCAACGCCATACTCTTGAGTCTGCTGCTCTTGCTGTAGCAGTACCGCCTCCTTGATACAAGGCAAGGCCACTATTTTCTCCTGTAGAGCCTCCAAGTCGACCCATTGGCCCCCCAACTTGATGAACATATCGCTACGCCCAAGGTACCTGGGGACACCGGAAGGTATACAACCTTCCCCACGAGGACCACCTCGCCCTACCTCAGCGTTTCTACTGAGCCTTGGGACCGCCATTGCAACACTTGAATGAGGTCCTTAGTGCGGAAGAACCGTCCATCACCGGTGTCCAAGAAGAGCCCCTGGTTCTCAGCCGCCTCGATGTACCCTGTTTCGGTCACACTGGGGCCTGCTAGGAGTAGCTCTCCCTTGGTTAGGCCAGTGGTGGTCTCATCCTCGGAAAGAGTCGTCACACGCACCCCTGGCACGACGGTGAAGACCGGCCCAGTGGGGGTGGATGGAGTGACCACCCGATACATGCTGAGCCAATACTCGGTGGCTACCAGCAGCTCTATAACAATTGGTATCTGGACAACATGTAATAAACCCAGCCATGGCTAAAGGAGGGCCAAACACACTGGCGGTTTCAAAACCGCTACCCCGGTTCGATTCCCACACATGTCGTTTCTCCCCCACTCGCGCCGAAGCTCACCTTAGCACTCCACTCATCGCCAATCACTGCCGTCAGCTTCTCACCCCATGTAAAGACTGCGATGAGGCTCTCCTGCACCTTCTCGTCCAGAGTGGTAGCCGCCAGTTGGCTCGGGACAACCCCAATGACGTTGATTTCAAGTCGTGTTATCATCGTTCTAAGATCCATACTTGCCATACCATCACAGAGGGAACTTCTAGATGACGTATCCACCATCACCAAACAGCCTCTCAACGCCAAGGAGAGCGACAGCTGACCAATGCATGTAGCCCCCCAATAAGATGAGGACTGCTGAAGCACTCGGGGTCCCCTCAGCAGTAGCTCTCCGCGGCGGGACTCGGGGACGATTAGAGGATATGATACGAACTCGTGAGCCAGCATGCCTTGGGAAACTACTGCACATTTCGACGCTTTCGTCGTACCCCCAGTGTAGAGTAGACTGACAAGACGCATAAATGACAGCGGAGCGAAGCAGATGTACCAAAACTCACCATAATGGGGATTCCCTCTTCACAGACTGCAAAGGCTCCAAGGGTTCGTTAGGATCAATTTGCGTCGCTCCGTCGAGCAACGAATTAATATCGACAATCTTGCTGGTACCAACACTGACAGCCAGGTCGATGGTTTCTCTAGGCGTACTGGTCTCGTCCACGACCAAGACGGCCGGTCGTATGCCATTCAGAATAGCAGAGTTACGGTCTCTAGTAGTAGCGGCGATCTTCCTAATTTCTCCCTCATTTTTGGTATTGGCATGCAGGTCCTGGACCATCGGTACGAAAGGAACCCCCAGCACCGATGCAGCCACGCACACCGCAACCCAGCGAGGCCCACGAGGGGCACACAAGCCCACCGACAGAGAG